GATAGATAGATAGATAGATAGATAGATAGATAGATAGATGGATAGATAGATAGATAGATAGATAGATAGATAGATAGATAGATAGACAGACAGACAGACAGCTATAGATAGCATTTTGATAAAACTGCATCTACCCAAAATCAAACTTACTTTACTTGCAGGCTAAGACAAGGTGATGTTCTTCAATGAACTCTAGGTGTTGGCCACCGAAAAAAGCAGCAAAAACATGTTTCAGGTTCAATTGCTTGTACCTTTAAACAAAGCAGGGGTCCCCCACAGGACTGTTTCTACAAATAGGGTAGTGTACTTATTGAACAACAAATGCATTTATATGCCTCATTATCATTTACCAAAAATATGTAAAACATCTGGGCTAGGGCCTTCTAATCTGATAAAAATATAAAATATTCAAATCACTACTTATAACAACCATACCATGAAAGATAAATGACTCACGCAAAGTTAGAACAGTTTTGTGTTAATCTTCCCTACAAAATCACCCAGAAATTATGAGTTTGAATGCTGGTCCTGAACCTAAAGTTTTGAATCCCCCTGAACAGTGGCCTGAAGGTAAGGCAAAGCCTGCATTCCTCTTATCAGCTGGACTCTAGCCAGACTGTGGCTGTTACGCAGTTTTCTTTCTCTCTTGCCATGTTTTTCTGTCTCCTTCTGCACAAAAGCATATAAGACGGCAACATTTGCTGCAACTGAAGCTTTTGAGTGTTTACTGGGTACTGAATGTGCCTACATGAAGCTGAACTATATCAGCTTTAGCTTGGAAGGTCATAGTTTTGATGAGACAATCAATCAAGGAGTTCTTATGATTGCACAACTTCATACAGGCACATAAAACGTTCCTAACCTGCCTCCTCACCGCCCTTGTCTCATCTTTGTTTCCTTATCTATATTCAGGGCTTCCGGCAAAGGCACAAACAGCCATTATAGAGCTGAAAAGTAATAAATCAGTTGCAGTGCACAATTCTCTGTTGCTGAAAACCTGTATGAAGGTAAACAACATGGAGAAGCAACTGAACGGCATGTTGACTTACAAACCCCTTATCTCATAAATTCTTAACTGGGAATAGACCATGAAAACCTCTAGCTAATGTTTAACTTGTGAAGTAACCACAGAGGCTTTGTTTTCTCCATGACAATGGGAGCTATGACCACTTCACTCACTCATAAAGATGAAACCACCTCACCTGTCTCATTCAGCCCATATAACGCCATGGGCAACACCATCAAAGAGACTGAATGAAACTAGTGCTATATCTCACCCTGGGTGAGGTCTTGAACTGCACAAGGAACCAATTTACAGGCATAATAGAAAAGGTGATACTCTGAAACAATAGTCTTCACACAATAATTTAAAAGAAGAAAAAATTCAAGCAAGCCATTATCTACCAAGCCATCTTTTGTAACACCCATGTGGTTATCTAGACTAATGAAACTATTGTGATAGACTGGTATCACATCTATTTTGCCCAAAAAAAAATTAAGATTTGATTATAATTTCATATGCATTTACTCGTCCTTATGTTGTTTCAAACATGTATGACTTTCTTTATTCTGTGAAACATAAAATAAATATATATTTTAAAGGATGTTTCAACTGTTTTTGTCCATATAATGAAAGTCAGTGTGGTCCAATGTTTGTTTTGGACAATGTTGACTTTCATTTTATGGACAGAGAAATATATGGAGACATTTTTTAAAAGTATCTTCCTTTGTGTTCCACAGAAGAAATAAAGTCATTAAAGCTATATAGAAATGAAAAAAAAGACAAAAGTGTGTAATAAAATTACAGAAAAATACACTAAAATAAAAAATTTAAAAAAGCTAATTCAAAATATTAGTAACTATAATAGCATAGGTACATGGTTAATTCGATATAATTGGGCCATTTTTCCCATTTATCTCAATGGCCAAAAATGCCTGAATTCACCCTAAAAAATACTAAAATAAAAAGAACAAGAATCTGTGAAAAATATATAACATTCTGATAAATGAAATTCATTTGTGACATTACAAAAAATGCACAGGCCAACTCATCTAGATGCAAAGGGCTTCTCAGACAGATTTGGGCGGCCTGTTTTGGCTAATTCACAACAATGGTAGCTTTGTTTGATAGCAGAAATGGGGAGAGGAACCCATCACTTCCTCAGAGCGCTAGTTTCTCAACCAGCCCCCTTTCCCACATGGTTCAGGCCTGTGTGAAACCGACCCTGCAGTCACTGCCGCGGACTGACCGCTCCACCACAGAGAGCACAGGGGACACATTCCTGCAGCGACTCTCACGAAGATTCGGCTCCCCATACCTCCCATTCCCAGAGAAGTTTTTTGTTTCTGTCAGTAAATTCAGGCCCTGCCAACCCTGTATGCAGCACAGCATTTACAAAAGCTCTGAGAGCAGTTTTGGATGCTGAACGTGGGGAAAATGCGTAAACTGCCTTTCATTCCTCAACTGTAAAGGAAGAAGGCAGTCCAACTAAGAATCTGGCAAAGCTGGCCACAGAATTGTGTCATACTGGGCAGTCTAGACTACTTGGCATGCCTCTCGATTAGAGCCACAATGAAACTTGAACATGACCTATGGGACTTTCTCAACCCATGGTTCAAAGTCCTACATATATCGGTGTGTGAATGCATGTGGAATAAATGATACAGACTTGGGTGGGGCTGAGCTTATGGCCCTTTCTTAGATGTGTGAAAATGTTTCAGCCAAAACATGAAGCACAATGAAGAAAATAGAGAGTGACTGATGTAGATTATAAACTAGACAACTTGTTCCTGTTTAAACATTCAGTTCAGAGAATCAACATATTGTACAGGTGTATTGTTAAACTAAACCAGAACATTATCAGCATGTTTCTTTCAGGGCATGTAGGGTAGATAGATAGAGTCACAAGATTGTGTTAGAGGGCATGCTGGTTGTCTCTGGGGGTTGAGATGACATGCACATGTCTCACATCTGCTGCAGCAGAGGATGACAGCTGGTTTGAGGTACTTACTGTTTGAACATCTTCTCCATGTCTTTGATCTGCTTCCTCGAGAACTCCTTGAACTCGGTGTAGGGGTTGAACACCTTCATGCTGGGCTGCTGGTGTCCACCGATGCCGTCGTTCAGCTCGCCGCGCCGCTGCAGCTTGGCTCCCAGCTCTGAATCCGCGCTGGCCGTGGCCGCTTTCTCGTGCGCTCCGTTCTCGTGAGCCCCGTCCAGGGCCACCGGGTCGTGCTCGCCCTCCTCGATCTGCAGCCTGCGGCTCAGCTTCGATGACAGCTCGTCCGTTGCCATTTCGCCTTATTCTGAAATCTGACTACTATCTACGGGGGAAACACGCAAAATGCTGCAAAGAGCGCAGTCCGTACAAAGGTTCAGTGCGTTAAATCCAGATTCTGTTTAGTATTTGGTTAAATACGTTTTCATATGCAAATCATCCGACTTCTAGCGGTGTGAAGGATACGCGGCTGTAAGCCCAGGGATTCAAACGGACAGCGCTCGTGCGTGTGATGACGCCTCCGCGATCGCTGACGGTAAAATAAGCGCTCGTGGTGCGCGTGCAGCGAGATGGACACAAAACCGCTTCACGACGCCACGCCTTTTAAAGAGACGCGCCGGACACAAAAGATCACTTATGATACAAAACCCTAGATGTGATACCTTTTGTTATTACAATAATCTCACCGCAGAAGTGTATTGTTTCTAGTTTTTAATATATATAGGCTAGCTATTTGGGAAATTACGTCATTTGTTTGTCATTAATATATTCATGACCGAAGACATAAGTGAACTTCTTTGTCGACCTGTTCCAAAGATTAGGCTATATTGAGCTGTCAAATAATTACATTAATTTGATAGGCAATTCGGCATGCTTGCGTATTTATTTATGTAATATCGATGAGTAAACTGACCTCAGTTATTATATCTTGTGACTAAATGTTGACAACTAATGAAGTATCTAAAAGGAATGATCTTTCTTGTTCTCGGTAGACCCACACGGAAGCTATGCCTGCATAGAGTTCAGGAGATTTCCACTGAATTTCCTCAAAACACTTGTCGTACATTAAGTCGTAGTCATTCATCACCTCTTGCATGTATATTGTTTCATTTATTTATTTTTTTATATTAAATGATCCATATTTCTGCTAATCTGATTATGTTTTCAATGGGTGTACTAGCTTGAGCTGTATAGCACATTTGACTATAAAATTATTTCCACACAATTCATCAGATCTTTCTTTAAAATAAGTGCTGAAAAACACCTAACAGATTCTGTTTGTGTGGTGTGAGAGACACATTCAGGTATTAAAGATAAAAATAACTTTTCTTTCACAAAAGCGTGAAATTGTGTTCATGTGGGTATACAGGCCTGTGTGCTGCCAGTTATATGTGAAATATCAGCATAAGATCTGAAGCGATCAGCTGAGTGACTAAAGGCTGATTCATGAAACAGGAAGCCACACACACACACACAGACTTACACACTTTGTCTCTATCTGAGACATCCCCTCTAGCTAGAGGAGGGGCTGCACTCACTACCTGCGTTCTCTCCTTATATGGAGAAAGAAAGACATGTAGGATTTCACCACTGAGAGAAAGGAGTGTTTAGTTCATCACACCTCTCCGAGGAGCTAATGTGATCTGGCATGCCGTAATACCAGCACACACTGAAAATCTTTCCTTTGTGTTGTGTGCATGGGGGGAAAAACAGTCTGCATTAAAAGGGCCAGTAGGCTACCCATGGTTCCAGATGGCTGCATTATAAACACACTTTTTTCCCAGAGAAGATTCAGATACAATTATGAGAGCCATAATTCACTAGGGACTCCTCTTACTACTCTCTGTGATGGCCTTTTGCCTGGAGGAAATGTGAACTGTAATCATTCTTGCTTTCTGTACTTTTGTGGGATATATCTGGGTCAGACAAAATAAGCAAGCTGAAGAGAGTAACACAAACACACACAAAGGAATCGCCCCATGTCTCTTTCCATCATTCATCTCGTTTCGTCACCCTGTTGTGTTTTTAAGTATCTCATTTTCTTTCCTTCTCAGACCAATGTGTATAAACAAATAAAAATGTAATAAAAGAAGATAAAAAAAGAAGAAGAATAGAAGCATGAAGTCACTTGTCAGCGATGCAAATCCCAAATCATTTTGTACCTAAAAATCAAAAAAAGTCATGGTAATTTCTGAGATTCTAGGGCATGGTCTCAATGGAAAGTCATGCCATTTTTTTTTACTATGACCTAGAAAAACAAGATTTCACATTATATCTATAAGCTACTGAGGAGTGTGTGTGTGTGTGTGTGAGAGTGTGTGTTGATGTGTGTGTTAGACAGATTGTACAGCCCTCAGCTATGTAGAGCTAGCAGTAAATGAGCATCATGCTAGTCTATATGCGAGCTGTTTGAATCTGGTCCTTGGATAGATGCCCAATCTCATAACAGGCCATTTTCTTTGTGTGAGAATAGAAACAGGAAACCATGCAGAGAAAGAAAGGGTGACTTTGAATGAAAAGGGAAATACAGGCAATTATCCAACACAAATATGTATTGTTATAAAGTATATTATAATATTGCGTTTAAGTAGTGCAGATTGTCAAATCTCTTTGTCAAATATCTATATTTTAAACGTAAAATATGTTTACATTTTTTTAATGTATTGCCTAAATCATACAACAACAACAAAAAACGTTTCTAGCATTACAAAATGTGTCAGACTCCAATTCATGGCAACATAAAAAATTTGCATTCTCAGCGTTTCCACAAGGGGTGCTATAGCTGTCTCATTAGTTTTTATTAGGTCGACATGAATCAGTTTCGACAGGAAATGAAGTTAATATTAGGATGGTGCATGAATTTTTTATTTTTTAAACAAAATAATAATGTGCATGGATGATTTAAAATAAACACTGCAATATTACAAAAAAGAAAAGAATTGTCTGTTTTAATTTGACTGCTTTCATTGTGACATTTTGCTATATAAGGACATCAATTACAATTTTAATGAAATATTATGACATTAAAACTGACTAAATCAGCAAATTAAGTGAAATCTCATGTTGTCTTTGGCTCAATCGCAGTACCCAAGTCTGATTCAGTGTGCGCTTATGGTGATGTGGTCAGAGTGAAGCCGTGTTTGTGTCCGTGAGCTTCAGTGAGCTGGGTGCTCTCCAGCGTTTGAGACAGACTGTCCAACTCAACCCAATTTTACAGTTCTGTTGCTCTTTCTATTCAATCTCCTTATTCAACACTCTTAAAAATAAAGGTGCTTCAAAAGGTTCTTCACAGTGATGCCATAGAAGAACCATTTTTGGTTCCACAAAGAGCCATTCAGTTAATGGTTCTTTAAAGAACCATCTCTTATACTTTTTTATAATCTGAAGAACCTTCTTTCACCACAAAGAGCCTTTTGTGAAAAAGAAATGTTCTTCAGATGTTAAAGGTTCTTTATGGAACCATTTAGACAAAAAGGTTATCCTATGGCTTGTGAAGCACCTTAATTTTTAAGAGTGAAAGCCTCCAGCTCATGCTCTTTCCTTCATTGTCTCCTGCCAGGTCTTTGTTTGCCCCACTGAGGCCATTATTAGGCACACACAGACACACACTCAGACGGCAATAGGAACATCAGATTTGGAGTCTATAATAATACAACTTCAAGGGAACACGAACAGAGGTTTAGGCACCATTTACAGTAGTGGGTTAACTAGTTTTACAACACATTAGGCTAAAAAACGAATTAGCTGGTGCAGCTGGAGTTGTAAAATTTATTAATGACTCAGTGTGATGTTTGGCTATAAAACTTGTGGCAGTCAAGTCTGTGGTGGATGGCATTAGTGCAGGCCTGGAGTCAAACGCATACATGCACATACACACAAAGAGGATAATGGCAGTACTAGTCCCAAAGGAGAATACACTGACAGATCTGTGAGTACAGTACAATGAGGATCAGCTGTTTTATGAATTATTAATGAACACAAGCCCAGTGAGACCACTGATTCAAGCTGCTGCCAGTAAAGTGAGAAAATGAGTCACTTTCTGATGAAACTCACTTTACTCATTCAGAAACAATAGTCAGGACTGAACAGATCTGGTCTGACAGCTGTCTGTGTGAGTTTCAAAACAGCAGTACACCAGAATGTAACTATAGTTATAGGAAAGCCTAAAGTTAACCCTATATTGTCAAAAGTTTATTTAAAAATTCAGTGCATTCAAGCAATTTATTACATGGCTCTATGGAAAAACTAATTTCTGATTGGTCAACCATTAGACCACTGTATATCAGTAGCCTACGCTCATCCGATATAAATAAAACCGGTACTTCTGTCAGGACCACTATCGTCAAATATGATTGACAATTAGCATACAGTTTGGATTGGCGGTATGGTTCTGTTCTGGGCAAGGACTCCCTGCGCATCCATGCAGCCTAACATGTATGAGAGCAGGGAGAGCAGCGATAACCCCCACAGGGTAAACAAAACAGAACCAACATAAATGTATTGCAGATATCGTTAAAGTTCAATAATTTTATGTACACATTTTAGAATTAGTCTGATTCAAAGGAGAATCAGAAGGCTGAATCCTACCTGACAGAGGAGGAGCTGGGGATGGAGGAGGGTAATTAGCTTTTGAGCAATGCGAAAATTGCTGATAATACTGAGGAACGTTATATATGAATGCTTAGATATAGGTGCCGTATTCCTATAGGTAGATGTGGATCAGCTGAGAGTCAGCTTATGCGAGCTTGACTAATGTGACCTGCCAGAACTAACGCTACGCTTGATTTTCATGTATCACACCATGGATTCGCGTTCTGTTGTTGTTTCATACAAACGCAATTGTGGTACCATCTTGCGCATTATTTATCTACTGTAATCATGAAAATGGTCGCACAGGTCTTAACCTAATTATTAGTGTAGCAAATATTGCTGGTCTTGTTGATGATTGTTTTGCACTGTTTGCACATGGACTTTTTTTAGTGGAAGCTTTAAGGTAGGCCTAATATACAAGTAAAAATATAAATATTAATAATACTAATAATAACTTTAAAATATTAATAAATCCTCCTGGACTATATGTTATCTTTTACTCCAGGGTTTCCTAAATTGGGGTTTGTGAATTGATGAACAGCGAATGAAATCATAGAAATGTAAAAATTGAATTAATTATTTACAAATAAATACATAAATCTAAATAAAACACACTTAGATATTTTATTTGATTACCTGCATGTCATGTGACCATTAACTGAAATCTGAAAAATGAGAACTGTGAACATGCAAATGTGTCATGAATTATTGAAACATTAACCTAAAATATCAGGAGGTACTTTAAATAGGCTATGTACAGAGGGTTAGCTGAGGTTTGAGAATGCCTTACTCTGCATGTGTGTTCCCTGCAGATCAAACCCGTGACCTTACCAGCTGAGCTACAGGAATGGCAAGTTCAGTTCATTTGTTTGTTAGAACAATACACTGAATTATACAAATACTTGAATGACCTGAATCACAAGAAGACACACCCATCTTCTTCCACATCTGGAACCAATACCTCACCAAAAC